AAATCTCAGAAAGGCAAATTGCTTAACTAAAACTTCTCAGTCTAAAAATTATAATATCTATCATTTATTGTCACCCTCTCACCTCCTTACCCTGTCCACAGAAAACCAAAATATAAAAGTAGAGTGACACAGACAAAGACAGAGCCAGCGAGGAAAAACTACACATAAACCAAGCCTACTCTAGCCGAAGATTCCTCTAAAAAACATTGAATAACAAAAATATTAAAAACCAAAGAATGACATATTTCCAGACATACTTCATACAAAACAGATCCAGAGAACGCAGAGACAAGAGTTACATTGCTAAATGCTTTATATCTTCCATCCTAGCACAATAAAAGGGAAGGATAATATTTTTAATACATATATGGGGATGGGAATAGGTATCTACATATCCACTCCATCCCTGTCCCTATACCCGTCCTCATTCCCGTCCCTTTTTAAATTACTAAAATATCTATAATTTATTAGATAACTTAAAAGCCTTTATATATATATAAATAGATAGATAGATGTCTCACCCTTGGTCCCTTTTGATTGTTCAGTGTATAGCCCAGCTGCAGTCCAATACTTCATAAAGTTCTTCTTTACTCGCCTCATAAGATCCAAGATGTAGTCACCTTTATTGTTATACTTGTAACAGTTGTCCCAAATGTATTGAACATCCTTATATACATCCTCTGAATTCATATACTTTTCATTTTTTTCAAGATTGCTGCATATTGTTCCAAAATCCATTGGTGTATCTATGATATCGAAATAGTCCTGGTCCCAAATAAAAGTATGAGATAAGACACAAGTAAATATATAAAAAAAATGGTTCCAAGTTTTATAATCAATCACGTTATTCACTATGGCTGAACAGATATCATAGATCCTTGTAGGATATAACCTCTACGTCAACAAATTAGTATCTACTAGAATGTACTAGTTTAATTGCTCTTCATTTTCACTGTTATCTTTCCTTCCTAGTATTAGTATGTCAAGAGAAACTTTACTAAACAATAATTTCTGGAAGTACCCAGGACGTAGAAGACTGCTTCATTGAAAAAAATGAAATTTAACAAAACAAAACACTGTAAAAGGAGCAAACTTTAGGTTCAGTGACAGAAATTGAGGAAGAGAAATATCTAACATCTCCAGAGAACGGAAACCAAACATAAAATAGGTGTCATCTATTTTTTTTTTTAAGAAAATAAGCTATGGCAAAAAATTACTCACAGGAATTCCCAGAGCTTCGGGATTGACAGGAACATTGAAGGGCTCAGCTGCATCCATCTTCATTACCTTCCTTATAATCTGTGCAGAACAAACCGAATGCATTATTATAGTTGACAATGTAATGCTTGGAAACAACAAACAAAATCAAGAAGGGCAATTATATCAAAGCTTCAACAAACCACTAAGGAAGCATCCAATTCCTGCTTATTATATAGGGCATTATGTTGAGTGGCCTTTCTTTCTTTTGGGTGGATGACCTCAGTGGAAGCTGACAATGGTTTGCTTGTGTGCTCCGCATTTGATCCCAAAACCTTTGAAGACTTGATTTTTATGCTACCAGCTCTCTTTGACAGATTACTCAGTTTCATATCAGGCAACGAGTTTGCACTATCCTCCATCCTCTCGGCACTCAAACCTTGTTTTTCAAGGCCATGCTGCTGGCTACTCTTATCAGTATCGCTCTGTGTGGGAGCATCAGATGAGGTGGGTTGGGAGTCCAACATTTTAGGTGTCTTAAGCTTCACCTTAACACGCCCAACTGATTTCCCAACAGCCTTATCAATGGAACCATCAGGATTTATGTTAGCAAGATTGAAATGCTGATCCGTCCCAGTGGAAGAAGGCGTGTCATCTTCCATTCCAGAGTTATCTTTATCATAACCAAACTCATCCAAACCAGAGGTTTCTTCCTTGTTTTGACCCCCACCATTACTTAGGTTATCGTTAGCACTCATTCCATGGTTAGTGGTACCTTTTGACTTTCCTTTCTTATGCCCACGCTTGCGCTTCATGTTCTATCTTCAAACCAAATACCACCCTGAAACAAATTCAAACAAAAGCTAAATAAATCACCACACTACAAAGTACAATAATTTATGCATAAAGGGGCCATCAAAAACTTATAATACTAAACACAAAAAGAGTTTGGCAAGGGGAAGGGCATGAATTGAATGAAAAAAGAGAGTAAATTTGAGCTAAATGAAACGAAAATATGGAGCAAAAGAATTAAAAGTGGAAGTAATTAGAGAATTGAGAAAAGCAGTTACAAGGAAGGGAAAACGGGTGTGGAGTGCGGAAGAGAGAAAAAGGCAGGAGTACGGAGGAATCGGCGGAGTGGGATAGTGGGAAAGTTTCCCTGAGCTTCACTCGACGGAGGAAGAACACCGCCACGCCCACCGTGCCAACACTCAATTCAATCCCTTCCTTTCGCTATCTTCCCAGCTTCAAAACGGTTCGTTTCATTACCACCTGCGCCACCACTCTCTCTCCTCTACCCACGTCAACGCGAAATTCTCAATTAATTTTATCTTTAACCTATTAACTATTTATATATTGAATATTAACCAGCTTTCTTTAAATCATATAATTCAAAATTTGGCTAACCAAAAAAATATATAATCATACTATCAATATAAATATTTGACTTATCAGAATAATTTCTAATATATCATAATGGAAACACGTTCACGTTGTATATTATATTACTAGTAAATATATAGTTTTTATGATAATAAAAAATAATTTTTATAATTTTACGGTAAATCTAAATAAATTTTATGGTAAATAATTTTATTTATTTTATAAGTAATTGTATAATTAAAAAATAATAAATTTTAAAGAATGTCAAGTAAAAAAAGATTAAATTAAAAAATAACATTTACTTAAATAAAAAAATTATTTTAGTTTTAACATTTTTATTTAAAAGATAAAATTAGAAAACCTGTGACAACTTAAAATTTAGTTGTTAAAAAGTTATAGTTTGACTTTTAAGAAGTTTCATAAAATTAAGGGAAATATTGTATTATATTTACTATGATATTTAAGATTATATACATGTCGGTGATGACTTATAGAAAAGATTACCTTACCAAATAGATAAATTTTGACTATGGTTGTATGAAACGAACAAGTAAATTTAAATTTTTAATTTAAGATATAGATTAAAATCAAGTTTCATAGAGCTTATAATTGATTTTATAAGATCCATCATTTAGAATCACTCTCTTATCTGAGTATTGTTAGCAGTTTTCTGACACTGTTATATCTGACAATGGTTGTTACTTTATACTCGAATTCTGTAAAGCTAAGATTAAGTATAATGAGAGATAAAAAAGAAAGTGTGAGAGAGAGTTGCATGAAGTAGGATGTGATGATGATGATGAGGAGGAGAAGAAGCAGGTGAAAAAACAGGCCATGAAGGTGACAGAGATAATAAAATATGAAACATAACAGGCTGCCCTCCACGTTCACCAATATAAGCAATTATGGTATCTTGTTTGGACTATGTATGTACAAATTCTTTGTTCATAATTTTTGTTGTAAAAGTCAAGGTTGCTTAAGATGGAGACATATGTGTTTGAATCTATTTTTCGACATTTTCTTTAGTGCGCTTTCTTGTCACGGGCCATCTTCTTTTCTCAAAAACATGTCTTACATGCAAAATGGCCTACACTTTCCCCTTTAACTTTCAAACACTGTATCCAAAATTTCATTCTTTCTCAAATAACTCACAATTTCATCATTTGCATTACTTCAAATGCAAGTACTCAGAGAAGTTGAGGAATAATATAATCTGGAATAATCATGGACGGTAGTTCATACAATGTCGTCTAAAACCAATTGATTGTCACACACTAAAGTGAAAGTGATGTTTGCATCTACTTCCTCAATTTCATCTCTTTCTTACCTTTTTCTTTGGGGGGGTTGCTGATAACCTTTCATATTCCTCAGACACTGTGATTGTCTCGTTGACAAAAACATGTTTACTCAATGCTTTTCCTTTTTAATCATTTTTCTCTTCATTATTGCTTCATTCATTTCAGTAATTACTCTGAGTTTTTTGGGTATGAATGATGCACTTGCAAGTGATTTAACATAAAACATGACAGACGGTAATACATAGTCTGACAAAAGCCATGGTTTTCCCTTAACCAGTTTATTTTTGGGCAAACACGAGAGGAATAAAAGTGGTCTACATCACCACTTTACTACCTTTATTTCTTTTTCACTATAAAATTATTTCTTTCTTCACTTGAATCATGAATGCTCTACAACTGCTTAGCTGTTGGATGTCAAACACTTTCATTCTCCCGCTCCCCTTTTCATATTTTTTATTTATTATATCACTATAATAATAATCATTACTGCTATTTTACTTGTGTTGTGTTCATTTCATTTTTTGGGTTTATCATGTAATGTAATGTATGAGTTGGTATTTGCACGATATTGCAGCAGCCTTTTTCTCTTCTTTTAATATCTTTTATCAGTGGAGATTTTATCAGATTATGCAAGATTCACAGTGCAATCTTTCTCATCATTACATTTGAATGGTTATGGTGGAAGTGAGGGAATTCAATACATTTATGCCATCATCATAGAGAGACTTTAGGCTTTAATCCTCACATCACAGAGGTTAGGAAGAGGCTCCTATCTCCTTTCATTCGGTGTATTAGTCTTAATCTTAATAATTATGTGTGTGTTTATCATAAAAACTGTTTGTTTTGAAATGCATACAATAATTACATTGCTGTGTTAAAGGAATGTTGTGATTTCTAATAGTAGTTTGAAATTATTGCTTGCACTATTCATGAGACTTAAAGGGTTGGATTAAGAACAAGAATCCAGGCTTAAATAGGAGTACTTTTAGTTTTAAAGGTAGCAATTGAAAATTGTTGCTGAGACTCTCCTGACAAGAAGGCCCATTCTTTTTTATTTCTTAAAGTTTGCTTCTTCTGACAAGGTATAGTATTCAATAAGTTAGGCATCAGGATCATCGACATGGGAACATAAATAGAAAAGTGTTCCAATAGGATTATCATACACATTTGTCTTTACATTTTCTATTCTCTATAAAGCAAACCTTCTCACCATCATGTTTCTGTCAACCAATATAGCATAAACAACTCTGCACTTGGATCAACACACTTCAACCTCATTCAAAGGTAAGTTAACTCTATTCATTTCATTTCTATTCAATATCATTATTACAACCTTCTATCAGGCCATGCATACATGTGCTTCTACCATTTAATATAATTGCCTCAGCCCACCATTTTTTTCTTTAAATTTCTTCACTTCAAGTGTTCATCAAATCATGATATTCTTGTTTTGGCCATTTTAGTTGTGGTAAAAAACAAGTACCTGTAAAAAGCTTCTCAACAAAATGTTCTGTTACTGTGCATCTGCATAAAAATTCCCTATTTAGTACACTGCTGATGCTTTCTATTCTCATCTGTTTCAGGATAGAGTTTCTCTTGAGATTATCATCAGATATATATGAATGCAAAGATCTTGAAAGGCCAAAAGTAGAGAGTGTGGTAGAGGTACTACCATGAGCGATTTGAACGGTGAAAGATCAAAGCCTCCATGGAACATATATCCATCTTCAAACCCTGGTCCATCACAGACAGGAGTTGATGAGGAAGCTCCATGGAAAAGCTTAGGGACATCTATGAGTGCTATTTCTTTTGGCTTTGTTGCCACCGCCATTTTGATTTCAATGTTTCTTATAATGGCAATATTTGAACATTTGTTCAAACCCACCTCACAATTCTCCACACCAGAATCTATGATGCGACGCTATCAGGAGCACCCACCACTACCAACACCAAAACAGGGAAACCCACAATCAGTAAGTCTCTTCATGCTTTTCAACCTTCCTTTTATTCACTGTTTCTAGATCCTGGAGCAACATTTTCTGCATTTTATGATTATCAACCTGTGTTAGTTAAGAACTATAAATTAATTGTTCACTTTCATGAATGCATTCATCTTTGAGAGATAAATTATGTCATCTGCATAATCAAGTAAAGGAGTTCAATACAAAAAACATCATGTTTTGGAAACTTATCTGTGACAGGTTCCAGCATGTTATGGTTCTGATTTCTCAGTGGTGATGCCAGGGCAGCAATATCCTACCTACATCGCTCAACCTGCTCCTCTCCCTTGTCAAAGGGAAGGGGCTTATTGGCCTTCTCATGAACATCATTTTCTATTTAATTAGTGCTTCTTTTTTTTTATCCTTCAATATGTTGCTATCAATGATCAACTTTTCTTCTCTCTGTATACAGATACTCAGAGACCACCCACTTGTGTCAATTTTATACATAAATATTGTATTTATATGCCAAAATGTTAAGCCAGCTTTTTCCTAGTTTGATGTACTTCAACTTCAGCAACTAAAGTTGCACCATAAATGTTTCTTTTTTGTTTTTACTTGCATTACTATCAGTATTTACTCTTACTTTTAAGCCATTATAGTTTGTTTTCTGGTTTCTGATTTCCATAATTATGTGGGTTTTGTTTCTTATAATATACCAGACATGTTAGTTTTAAGACATTGTTTCATTGTTGAGGAATATGTGCCGTGAGACATTGGTGGTGGCAAGGATGAAAGCTAAGAACAAAAACCAAAATTAAAATGATAATAGTTTTGGCAGCAAATATTAGTTAGACAATAACATTGTTGGAGAAATTTGAGAAGGTTGAGAAGATGAGTAAAGTATAATGATGAAGGTGGTGGGTGATTAGTGATTGGAGTAAGTATAATGAGAGAGAGTGATGCATTGATGGAAGCTCTCATGATGAGAGGAGAGTGTGATGTCAAATGTGTAAAGGGGAAACTGCCACAACACAGCAGTAATTTGTAAGTTGGTGTAACTACCAACAGATTCAGGAAACAACTAAAGCTTTGTCAAATTAAGAGGCTGCACATGTTACCAGAAAAACAAAATGTAAAAGAAATTTTTTGCCTTATTTAAACTTAAAAGCCATTCACCATTTTTTTTAATTTAATACATTATTGTATTTATATCTTCTGCCAAGACAAAGTATTAATTTTGATATCAAATGTTGAAATTTTCACTAAACTTATCATTTCTAAAATGAGTTGTTCGTATAAAAGATTATGACATTACTTTCAGCATAAAATTTTAAAAATCAATGTGTGTGAGTCTTTATAAAGCTATATATCACTAATTTTTTTCTTTTTAAGTGAATGTGTCAGATTCTTAATGCTTGATGTCTGTTTAGATTTAAATAAATCTTGTTTATATAGATTTTAAGGAGCATAAAGCTCGAAAATGATAAAGAAATTAAATATTAAACTTTACATGTCACTTATATGTGAAAAATTGAGCACACCTTGGTTTTCTATTACATAAATATTTTTAAATTATAATGAAATAAATAATTAAAATAGTACATATGAAATATAAAATAAATTATTTTATTAAAGACATGTTTCTGTATTATAAAATAATAATAATTAGGATAACAAATGATAAGATAATTTAGTTTAATATTTTATTATATGTATATATATAATAAATATTCAAATAAAAATATTGAAATAATAAATCAAATAAATTTAATTAATTTGAATTTTTATTTTTCCTAAAGTATTATGTAGCTCCATATATCTCCAATAAGAAATTGTACATTATTTAATACAGCATTACCAGTAAAAAACTTAAATATCAATAAATTCATCTCTTAAGTATTACTTTGCAAATGAAACAAGTGAATTGATCTTTGGGTGAAAGAGTTTATAATTATTAAAACATAATGAAGAGTGTCCTGAAGTTTGTAATGTAACAGACAGAAAGGGACAAAGATAGGCGTAAATTGTTTTGCTGCAGAGGTTCATAAGGCTGCGTATGTTACTAATGAATGAGCAAAGAATGGAATGTAACTTAACAACTAACAATATACAAACATGATACCAAAAGAATACTAAAAGATGACATGATTTCTCAGCGTTTTCACCATAAATTCTTAGAGTGGAATTGATCAGTAATTGTAACTGTAATTTTGAACAAGTAATGGTGTTAAACTGTAGAAGTTTAATACAAGTAGGAGCATAGCAAAAGCAGAGGAATTGTTGTTGTTCATGGCTAGAGGTCATCCAACATGTCTTCTTCATCTGGTAATATCATGGTCAACAAAGAATACTTAACACGGAGAGAAATTCTGCCCTTATCAACAACAAGCTTTGCTCCAGAGACAACCCAATAGCCAGGAGACTCTTGTGGTCCTCTGTTCATCTCACTTGTGTCAACAAATTTCAGAAGCTTGGGAGCTTGGACCGGAACCGGAGGGCCGCCCGGATAGACGGCAGAATTTATATTAACATCCGAAGGGCGCGGAGGAGGCTTCTGAAATGTGGATGTGAAGTGTTGGCTGATTAAAGTTGATATCAGTCCTGACTTGGCTCCCAACTTGGGTGATCCCTCCCACTCCGGATGCTTCACTGCTTTAGCTCCCAACACCGTTGAGAATCTAAGTCTTAAGAACAGTATATTCTTTATGCCGTAATTCTCAACTTGCAATTGTGCTCCGGTTACTATTGAAAGATCCTCTTCAGATTCCACAGGAGCTGTGCACACCTGAGAGAAATTCTTCCATTGAACCTTCTCGTAGAATCTCCTGTCGTATGACTTCCGCTGAAAGTTATCATTTGGATCATCTTCAAGCTGGAAGATTTTTGGAAGTGATGAAAGGTGTTGCAAATGGATGGCCAACCTATTGCTTTTCTTACCTTCAAGATACAGACGTAGACCAGTTACTGGCCTCTTACCTACATCAACCTATTATAACATGACAACAATTCCTGGCTTCAGCACAGAGATTATAAATCACAAATATATGCTTTTTAAATAAAAAAACTTCCTGTGTTTTTAACATGTGCCCAACCCAGGACCAAAGAACAAAGCTTCACCTGTGTGGTGTTAACATAAAGCTTTGGACCCATGAAGCTAAACTGTAAAGAAGATGAACTTCGTTGCCTCCGTTGTGGACCAAGTGGAAGATCACTGAATACAGGCGCCCACTGCCTTGGCAGCTGGAATTCCAAGAATTGGTGGAGCTCTTGAATCGGTGGTTTATCTGCAAGATCCAATGTGTAACTAAACATTTTGAACTAGTAAAGATAATCTATGTGGAATAAACCAAAATTGAAGACAAAACATTAAAAAAAGTGATCCATGAAAATTTAATTTTAAGATAAAAATTTAAGACATGGGCAGTGTAATGATGCATATGATTCACAAACAAGAATATGCTTTCTTATGTTTCACTAATTGGTATTGCATGTCAATGCCTAAACGCTATTAAGTCCTTATGAGAGCATCTATGCACTGGTAGGGCGGATATTTTAAAGTATTTATGACACTAGGTTAATTCAAAGCCAACTGAATTAAAATATAGAATGAAATAGAACTTCAACAAGCAAAGGAATTGAACGCTTCTATTCTATTCCAATGACAAATCCTTTTCCTACACAGCCAAGAGAATGAAATGTGCAATTCAAAAAATCATGACCATTTTTACGAGAATAGTTGCAAACTTCTTCACAGTATGGATTATTTACGAGAACCATATGACTATCCACGAGACAAGTGATGCTTTGCCCAGTTTTAATTTATAAAGGAAATACCACTCCAAATATGAGAAATTTTGAAAAATACATTCACTTTTATACTTTATATGTCTCTGGCGATCAATAGAATTTACAATATTCCTTGGGATTTGTTAATTCAGAACTTATTATGCATTTGGCCAGAGGATAATCAACATTCAATGAATATAAAGGACAGTCTAACAGCATGTAATGGGAAGTCTATAACCATCAAGATAAAGATCACAAGTATTTTTGGTCATGCAAAAAAACCAGTTAAAAAGTAGAGAGCAGGCTGGTGGTCATTCTACGAGACAACTATCTACAATAGCTCAATTGCAGTGAGAATACTTCCCTATGAATAAAAAACTTGCAAGCTAACTCAATTTTCAATAATTGCTTTAGTCTTGCAAAATGTTGGGCATCGGGGAACTTCACAAGTTATTCATAGTAAACCTTAAACCATAAAATTTTGCACCTCACCGAATCGCTCAGTCCACAACATAATGGACAACTGTTGCAATTAAATACCAAGAGGAAATATTATTTAGATAAAAAGTACGCAAAGAAAAATAAATTTGCTTACATCGTAAATAAAGGTTTATGGCATGGCTCAAGAATCCACTCCCTGGCACTCCATTCAATAGAGATGTAATTGGAATGAACGACATTGAGATCACATCTGGCTCGTGCTGAACAGTTTGTAACCACTCGTTGTGGGATAGGTTTCTGTCATCACTCCCACCCCTCCTCTTGCAAATGCTTACAATATCCTGCCATAAAAAAAATAAGTACAATTGCTATGGTAAATATAAATATTAAAAATGTTTTCAAAGTTAAATATTTTAAGCACAACTCCTTGTGTGAGTAAGAACTCGATGGACTGATATTGGCAAATGTTAGCCTCTGCTCCCTGATTCCAAACTGAAAAGAAGCAAAATTTATTACAAACGGTCAAGTTTCAATCCAATATAGGAAAATAGAAAAATGCTTATTTCCAGAAAATATATATAGGTCTGTATCAATGGAAGACAGTATCAGACATGAGCGATTCAAGATATTAAAATCGTCGGATTGCAGATTCACAAACCTCCAACTCATAGTATTCAAAAGACCTCTAGACTCTCCCCTGACTTCTTCACTCAATTAAGAAAGGTATAAAAATGTTGGAAATGTCATATCAGCAAGAGATATGACTAAATTATAGTTTAAATGAAGGTGCAATCTACAATCCGGTTTTATGAAAGTGAGTTAGACTTAAAGTCTATTTATTAAGATAGTATAACTTATCCTAGAAAGTTTGTTGTTACCACTATTAAGCCACTATCTAACCAACCACAAATATCTAGTTCTGAGTAAGGTTTAAAGTCCACTAGACAAACCATATTTTGAAGTTTTCATAAAATAGCAGGATAAATACTGATCGGACCCTATGCTCAAAAAATTGTTCACAAACCTTGTCATTTGGGAAAACTTGATCAGAAGCAATGGTATAGTGGCTATTGGCATCTAGAAACCTCCTATCTGCCATTTCTTTCAATTTTTTCTGAACATCAGCAGGTTGAAGAGTTGATGAGTGTTGCTGCTTCAAATATATTACATCTTTTCCCCCCATTTTCATACCAACAATTATATGAGTGCCAAAGGTATCAATAAACCTGAGAATTGTGAATAGTAACAGTTAGCCAGAGTATCAAACCAAAAATACAGTAAAAAGAAAAGCGAGGTAATCCAAATAGAATTAAATAACTTTTAAGACAGCCAACTTATGTTGCTTATCAACATAATTGAGCCATACAAACAAAGATAATATATCCAAATTAGTCCTAATTTGATTAGAAGATTACAACGTAGCACCATTTAAGAATATTTATATTATAAATTAAAAGCAAATAAACATCAAAAACAAGAGAATAAATAGGCCAAAATAAGCTTTTATCACATAAATTAGGCTTATAATAGGCATACATCAACAATGAACTTCTTATTGCTGTTATTTATAAGCCCAAGTCAAAATTTTCCATGAAAAGGACATTGATCAGCGAAGAAAAGTTCAAATAAAATTATGCACTCGTCAGCTTAACGAAATTGAATTTTTTTAAAGAATATTCAGATATGCGACTGCATAATAACATGAATGTGATTTTACAATTCACCTCATTTATGCAGCCATTCCCAGAATTTCATCTGCTTATCGTACAAGGTTGAAAATAGAAATGGCAAAATATATAATATTGGGGCATAAATAAAACAACAGAAATATATCGGAGAACTACTTCCACATATTATTCATTTATCATTAAAGGTCATTTCTATCTTTTTGCTATAATGAATCAGCTTAAGGCCCACAGAACCTTAATCATTATGAAGCTAGAGATCAGAGGCCATCCATAGTTCGAAGAGCTGACCAAGATGTCAAAACTAGAACTTAGAGGATGATGATATTTCATTTGACAAGGAGTCAGAAATAATTTCACCATTTGGTCAAGATTACAATAACAAAACTCAATTCACCTTGCTAAAGCAGGTGGGTCCCACGATGATGGCACAGCTTTCTTAACGTGGTCACAGAGGACCATTTGAGACTTCTCCAGTGCAACAGTATAGAGTGTAATTAACACCCCATCAAAAGCAAGGGACTTCGTAAGGGCTGCATCTCTCTGCCAACTACCAGAAAATTCAAACATTGTATTGAAAAGCCCTGATGGAATTTTGCCTGTCAAAGATAACTCCTGATTGAACTGCTCCGACATCTGAAAACATTCAAAAGTAAACAGCCACTGAACAGGAGATGATGCATGTGTTGCTTAAAACTTAAAATGCAGACAAAAAGAAAGTCAAAGATTATAACAAAAGAAATATTTTGTTATGTCCCTTCAAAGATCAAAAGCCTTTAGAAGCGTAATTATCCAAAGATCAAAAGCCTTAAGAAACCTACCAACTGGTTCATAATTTGAAGAGGGTTTGGCTACTTAGTGATACACATAACACACTAAGCGGTCAGGGCATGTCATATGCTTTTGCAATAGCTTATAAGGGTTATTTACATATAACCTACCAAGGAAAGACTACCCACAGCAATCAGTCAAACAGATCTTACCAGTTGAGCCAATCCCTCGTTGGCTTTAAACCAGGAAACATCATACTGAAAACAAAGTTCATTGTGCATCATGGTTTCAAACACATAAAAGTAAAGTTTTGACAGTAATGATGACAAACACCTGTTCACTTTGGAAATATGAGGCTAGAGTACGACCTTCATACGCATTCCATCTATCATCTACTAAAAAGTGCATTCCAATGGGTAGTTCATGAGCAAAACACTAACTTGAAAGGAAATGGGAAAAATGATGCACAAAAATACTCGTAATTTATTTCTAAGTAACGGCCAAAATTTTCATCAAACAAAACATGATTTCAGAATTCATTTCATCTCCAGAAGTAAAACAGAAAACTTTACCTGTTGAAAAGACAGAACATCAGACCTGAACCGAGTGCGTTCCCCTTTATCACATTTAATTGATTTGGAAACATTTGGTATTGAAACTCCATCGGGTAGTACCACCTCTCTGACATAACTTTCATCTATCTCAATCAAACGTGAATTTACGGAATCTCCTTTACAATATTTAAGCCTTATATCAAGGGATATATCATAACCACGACCGATGGACCCAATTGCAATCTCAGCAGCTACATGAGCGGGAACTTTAAGTGCCATATCTTAGCATATCATTTCTCTTCCCTGAAATGGAACCAAATTCCACAGTTCAGCACTCTTAACTCAGAAATTAGGAGTTTCGCTAACACGATAAATCGAGTCACCTTCTAAAACACAAACCATGCATACAAACGCAAACTATAAATGATTACTCGCGCAACTAAGTAAAAAACAAAAACTCAAGATCCATCTCGAAACCGACAAAAGGAGAAAATGTTCAGAGTGGTGCAAAACTAGTAAAGCATTTACTCCTTAAGCTCGGCCGAAAAAGGAAATTAAAAAGTAACAATAATATAGTTTTTGCCGCAACGATTCATGATAACCCGGTGAACTCTCTATACAGTGCCCCACAAATAAAAAGCTAGGCTGCAATTCAGGAATTGAATGCCCCACCAGCCCCCAGAGCTCAGCACGTACTTAACGAAACGCATTCTTAGTAAAACTTGTAATTAAGCCAAATTCGGTGCTTAAACATTACATAATTACGGTGCAAAAGGAGCTCCTCACAGTTTCTCTCCAGCCGTGGAAATGGAGGCCGCCGCCCAATAGCCAATCAGCGATCAGGCTAAGCAGCGCGTGGCTTGTAGCTGGAATTTCAAAACCCTAAAGTGAAAGTTGGATTCTTGGAATGGTGGATAGGATGTAGAGAGAGACACACACACGAAAGCGGAGGAGAGAGAGGAATGGAAACCGGAACAGAGGTAGACTAACATTTTAAGTAATTATTAATTATTTTAAAACTATTGACTATTGAATGAGAAAGAGTGAAAGCAATAATAGCATTCATTGACGATTTTTACAAACTTTACGCCCATTATCTCCAAACATTCATTCTACTTTCTCATTCCCCACTTTTCGCTGCAAACTATAATTTGCAAATTATTATCTTTGCTGCATATTCAACTGTTTTTGAAGAGTAATCATATTTTTTTAATCAAACTTTTTTTCACTATTTTGTAGATAATATTCAACGAAAATCACGAAAGTAAAAAAATGCACTAGTTCTGGTAAAAAATGTGTGGTTGAATACTCTAAGATAAAATATCAAGTTCAAACACAGTAAAAAAAGTAAGACTATTGAAGCAGTGACAGTACTGAACAAATATAGTAAGACCGAAGCTTAATGAATGCATTAGTACTTTTACCCAAAATATGCAAAGGTATTATGTTGCAGCAGTAAAAGATGGTGATGGATTTTACTGTCAAACGTATTATTTCACATGTACTGCTACCTCTGCACATTCATTTTATTTAGTCATCTACACATACATATGACATGATATCATATTACCCTCTCTGTCACTCTGTCTCTCTGCTGCCCACAGCTAGTGACCAAAAACATGAGGAATGGGTATGGCAGGATTGGTAGTGAGACTACCCACAAAGCAAGATCCATGGATCATGCTACCACTCCATTTCCTCAAACCCAAAAAGCACCACCAACAACAACCAGCGAGAGTCCGAGGAGGGTGGAAGATGGGAAGGGAGAGATATTCGGAGTGATACTGGGTAGGAGTGCTTCTGTTTCAACCAGTTTTTCTTCTGCTTCAGGGGCGTTTGAGGTTACAATGAAAAGGGCATTCTCAATGGGAAGATCTTCATCGGTTTCAGAGAGGTACTGCAGGATCCATGACACAGCAATAGCATCGCCGATTGAAGATGATGACGATGATGAAGTTGAGGGTACAGCAAGATCCAAGGAGGATAAGGGAGTGAGGATGAAGATTAAGATCCTCAAAGCATGTAAGCGCCTTCTTCGATTCCCATTCTAGTCTTCCATTCCTTTTCACCTCTCTTCACTTCAGACCAGAGTGACATCACACCTTTGTCAGTTTATTTATTTACATTTTATCATACCTTGTCGAGATCTTCAAATTGCAAAAGTAGATCTTTTTATCTGCTCTGAGAAAACCCAATATGAAGTTCTGTTGCTCTACGTAAAAGGGTATAAAAGTTCCATACAATGAAAAAAGTTTGAATTTTGGTGTCATCACTTTTCTTGTTTCATAACCAAGATTCAAAGATAGAATCACAGTAGCAGTCAAATTATTCATTGCCAGAATAATTTAAGTTCCAAGCATCGTACATAATTAAGTCCAGTCCCACAAAATGTTTTTTCTTCTTCGTTCACTTGGTTCTTTTACCAGCCAATTATTTACTGTTAATATGAACGTTTATAGTTAACTGTAAATATAACAATCAATAACAATTGATTTATTTTTAACGATAAAACAAATGTTTATAGTTGACTGTAAATATAACAAAATTAGCGACGACTATTTTATTTTTCATACATACTAGTTGGAGTACTTTTCATAGAGTAAAAATTGAGAATGAATTGATTATAAAACGCTAAATATAAAAGGGGTTGGTCCAAGAGGTTTCAGACACGGCATTGCGTGGTGGTGATGGTGATGTGAGCATTATTAAAAGATCAATAATAGGAATTCAATGTGAGACTTTTAACCATCTAAATTGCTTGATCTCAAGAATAGATAAATTTGTGAGACGATATGACGAATTATTCAAGTTTTGGTTAAGATATATAAAGGTAATAAATATAATAGAAAGAATTAGTTGATAGAGAATGGATAAAAGGTGTAAAAATAAGAAGCGGGAATAGTGGAAGTTTGTGTGTTGTTGAGATTGAAAGGAGAGATATTTGAATTGGATAGGGAAATATAAAATCTCTTACTTTTCACTGCAATCGATGCATTTGCAATGAAAAAACCATGGGAGACGACTCGCCAAAAAATAAAGTAAAGTTCCTCTGCAGCTACGCCGGCAAGGTCCTTCCACGACCCTCCGATGGGATTCTAAGGTACGTCGGCGGCGAGACTCGGGTGGTTTCAGTGCCTCGTGACGTGACCTTCTCCGGTACCCGTGCCTTCGATTTGAAGGATTGAATTGAGCTTAATTTGAATTGAATTGAATAGAATAGAATTGAATTGTTTTGCATTGCGTGAATTGATGATTCCAGAGTTGATGAAGAAGGTGGGGAGCATGGTGGAGGGGGAGGTGGTGCTCAAGTACCAGCTTGTCCCCGAAGATCTGGACGCGTTGGTGTCTGTTAGGACGGAGGAAGATGTGAAGCACATGATCCAGGAGCACGACCGCCACCACATAGGATTGCTCCGTGCATTCCTCTTTCCCTCTAACAAGATGTGTTTGGCTGCGTCGGAAACCTATCCATTGGAGCAACGTTACATCGACGCCGTGAATGGGATCCTGAGAACAAGCCCTAAGGCCACGACCAGGGGCTCTGCGTGTTCTTCCCCGAAATCAATCTCACCAGATGCAGGGGATCAGTACTCCCCTCGCTTTGGCAATTCGATATCCATATCCAGTGCGATGCAGATGCAGAGAGTGCGAAGCTCTCCCAGCCTCTCCAACATGGATCAGCAAGCTCATTACCACCAACATTCCCATCTCCCTTTTCACAACTATCCATCTTTCTCTACCACTAGACCCCCCCAAGATCCTCAAATAACAAGACTTGGTGGAAGGGGTGCCTCCTTCAACCACCACCACTCAAACCCCAGACAACCCCCCAGAGGACTAGGACCCTACGGCTACCCTGATGACTCTGCAACTTATGGGAATGCCCTTCATAACATCCCCAGAAGTCCCAGAAGAAAATCTATATGGGAGTAACCCTAACCCCCACCCCTCCTTCCCCATCTCTGTATATATATATATATATATATACCCCAACTTTTGTAAATTGGCACACCGTATCAATCACTACTAAATTCTCCTCCTCCTTTTTGTTTTCCAAATTCTTATCATAAAAACTACAAACACAGCATTTTTAACACATCTTCTCGTTTATTAACTAACTTGCAACCTTTCTAGACTCAAGTATGTAAAATGTAGGATTAACATTTTAAATATATGTTTATATCATGTTTGACTTTAAAAATTCTCTCTCTTTTTTTGTTTCCTTCTACACTATTCGTATCTTATCATAACTACTCTTTCATCTTTTATGTTTTTCAACTAATTTAACAGTCAATATTTTGTTGCTAGTTTATAATTTGTCCCTAGTGCAGATAACCCTCGGAGAACCTCAAATCAGATATGCATTCCGGATATTATACAGCTGAAGCGAAAAGCTAAAAAAATATAGTAAATTATATGGGCCCGTGAGCACGGAGGCGAGTCAGCATTGGAAAACCTCAACTTTTTGAGACTTCAACGATGATGGGCGTGCGAAGAACCTGAATCCTGCAGCATTATTTAATTCGGTGTAACAACTGTCCAAGTTCGGGACCTTCAACTTTCTCTGTCCGCATTTTAATTTGAAGTGCGTTTGTTCCTTCAACATTTCTATAGAATCAAGTAAAGTAAGGCGTACACAAATTGAAAATTCTTACTTTTGACCACAGTTTTAGACAATAATATCTCACCTGCTAATACATTACAACATTTAGAAAGATAACCTGATAATTTACGTAGATTACTATATTTCTAGGCAACTGGACTTTAAATAATCAGCCATTGCCTTGTCCTGCCAACTTCATACCAGCTTCATAGATGATAGATTACTATATCCCGGAGCATAAATATTTCCGACAAAGAGCAGTGCGACACAGATGAGAAACCAACAACGTCGCTCGAGATCGGGAACTCCTACAACTAATTATGCAATCGAGCCAAAACACAATTATAGTCGGTAAAACTGGGAAAAATAAAATAAACCGAACGTAATAAACAAATAATCCTTAACAAATAACAAAAAATATATTAAAGACAAAATTCCAGTGTACGCGAGCATCAATGAGCACCTACAAAATCCGTGTCTAATTTTTTAGAGGAAATACGCACCCACTCTCCATTGACAAAAATCATTAAGAATTTGGGGGGAAATACTAACAATAAACTCTATAGGTAACTAGTTTCATTTTGAGTCGGTGAAATCAGCATCTATGACATCACCGTCCGGTCCCTTGCCGGAAGATTCTGAGGGGCCAGCATCGGCACCAGGTGGGGGAGTAGGGCCTCCTGTGCCAGGAGCTCCTGGCTGGTTGTAAAGGGACTGACCAAGCTGCATAACTTCCTGATTGAGGGCAGCCATGGCATCCTTAATAGCTTGTGTCGAACCCCCAGAAATTGCGTCTTTAAGCTCCCCTAGTTTTGCTTCAACCTTCTCTTTCACAGGTCCAGGGACCTTGTCTCCAAGCTCTTTCAATTGTTTCTCTGTCTGGTACACCACAGAATCTGCCTGATTCTTAGTGTCAATAGCGTCCCTCTTCTCTTTGTCTTCCTTTGAAAATTTCTCAGCTTCCTTCACCATTCTCTCCACCTGTATTTCATTCCGCACACAGCAGTAAGCATTCCCACCTCTAAACCCCCTCCCATAATCATAAAATTGGCGTTTCTTTCATATAATTAATACAAAAGAAGCACCTGGCAACAAAAACAAACACAATATGCAAAGGCTATACAAGACTGTCAACTATAGTGGATACCTCATATGAAGGTAAGGTGCTAGCACCAGTAATGGTAATATCTTGCTTCTTCCCCGTGCCTTTGTCAATCGCGGCGACCGATAGAATGCCATTGGCATCAATATCAAACTTCACCTCGATCTGAGGAACTCCCCGAGGTGCAGGGGGAATACCATCCAGACGGAAGCTACCAAGTGACTTATTGTCTCGAACAAATTCTCTTTCCCCTTGGAGAACATTGATCTCTACACTGGTCTGTCCATCGGCAGCGGTAGAGAAAACCTCGGACTTCGATGTTGGAAGAGTGGTGTTTCTAGGGATAATTTTTGTCATCACACCACCTAGAGTTTCCAGACCCAAAGATAATGGAGTGACATCCAATAGTACAATGTCGCTGACGTCTCCAGCCAACACACCAGCCTAAAAGCACAAATTAGGGAAAAAAATGGTCAATGATAATAGAATACTAGTATGAAAATAAAAAATTGCTAAAGACTCTACAAAGCATAGAGACATTCTCTGTCCCCCTCCTCGTTCCCTTCAAATTAAGGGATTCTACAAAGATTATAGCTAAATGTCACCTGAACTGCAGCTCCAAGGGCAACCACTTCATCAGGATTGACAGTGACATTCGGGTCCTTGCCAGTCAACTTCTTTACAAGCTCCTGAACGGCTGGAATACGGGTTGACCCACCCACAAGGATAACCTCATCAAGATCCTTAAATGAGAGTTTTGCATCCCTCAATGAGTTTTCAACTGGTGTCCTTAGCCTGAAACACAATTCATACAAGTACAACCATGGTTAGACAGCTTGTACCATTTTGTTCCGCTTTAGTGAAAGCAGGAAAATCTTATGCTTGGCATCCATTAAAACTGAGTGCTTTTAGTGAAAACAGCAAAAATCTTATGTTTATCATCCATTCAAATTCAAAGCATTTCAAACCTATCGTTACCTGTCAAGAAGATCTGAACTCAATTCCTCGAATTTAGCCCTTGTAAGAGTTGTCTCGATATGTTTGGGACCATCTGCTGTAGCAGTAATGAATGGTAAACTGAAAAATAGGCACAATATCTCAGTGGTTTGCTTAATTAGCACAAGAAGTCATAAAATGCAATGAAAAAGAATACAAGAACGTCTGTAGTAGATGTCAGACAAAACGAGAAAGGTAAACACCTTATGTTAGTTTGACTCAATGATGAGAGATCCATTTTAGCTTTCTCTGCTGTCTCGGTGAGACGCTGAAGAGCTTGTTTGTCTTTTAGAAGGTCTATGCCTTCATCTTTCTTGAAATTGGAAGCCAACCAGTCAACAATTCTCTATAGCCAAAAAAAGACGCAACAGAAAACAGTCAGTCAGCAAACCACAATTAACAAAATTTTCTACAATTCTCAGATCAGAAACAAGGACAACCTTATCAAAGTCATCACCACCAAGATGTGTGTCCCCAGAAGTAGACAGCACCTCAAACACTCCGTCGCCAACCTCAAGCACCGAGACATCAAAGGTACCACCTCCAAGGTCAAAGACTAAGATAGTTTCATTGTTTTTCCTTTCGAAGCCATAGGCCAAGGATGCAGCAGTGGGTTCGTTGATAATCCTAAGAACCTCTAGACCAGCAATCCTACCGGCATCCTTGGTAGCAGTCCTTTGCGAGTCATTAAAATAAGCAGGGACAGTGACAACAGCCTTGGTCACTTTATCGTTCAAAAACTTGGAAGCATCGTCCACAAGCTTCCTCAAGACCTACACAGCGCACAAGTGGGTATCAATATCACAACAACCCGGCAAGTAACACTGAATATGAGAAAATAGAAAGGAAAGAAAGAGAAAGGTGACCTGGGCAGAAATTTCCTCGGCGGCGAACTGTTTACCAATGGCGGGGCAGTCGAGTTTGACGTTGCCGTTGTCATCTCTGATGACTCTGTATGAGACCTGCTTGGACTCCTCGTCCACCTCGGACATCTTCCTGCCAATGAACCTCTTGACGGAGAAGAAAGTGTTCTCCGGGTTAACGACGGCCTGACGCTTGGCGATTTGGCCGACGAGTCTGTCGCCATTCTTAGTGTATGCGACAACTGAGGGGGTAGTTCTTTGGCCCTCGGCGTTGGTGATAATAGTGGGTTTCCCGCCTTCCATGGCGGCTACCGCGGAATTAGTAGTTCCAAGGTCGATGCCGACGACCTTCTCATTGACGACACGGAGAACGTGCCTCCTGGGTTTACTCTTGACCTTGATAAAGGCCTTGGTGTTTAGCCTCTGACCCAAAAATAGGGTTCGGGAAGAGGCGAAGGAGGGGGTTCCAAGACCATGTATTTGAGCGCTTGAGCAAGCCATGGCGAAACCCTAATCTGATAATTGGACGGAGAAAGAGAGAGATTGAAAATGAAAAAGGTAAGTGTGAGGTTGGAGAGTCCACCCAAGAAGAAGGGCTGATGAAGAATAAATAAGAAGGAGGGTTTTGGGAGAGGATGAGGGTTATGTTACGTCCTCTGTGAGGCCACGTGTTCTTATTCTAGAACCATCGTAACAAACAATCGCTACAACCTACTACAACACTCTACTACTATTTCATTTTTTTTTTTTTGTTACAAATCTTCTCTTCTAAGTTTATTATTCGATCATATTTTCGAATATATTTTTCATTTTCATTTTTTAATTCAATGGTTAAAAAATTTAAGGTATAAGTTTTTTTTCCAATATTTATAGTGTTATATCCAGTCAGAAGTTAATGTGGTAATTCATTGTCCTCTTTATATTAACCTGATTTTGCGAGTTTAGGTGCTAACTGTTTTTTAATACTATTCGTAGGTCTTACATTGTTTTGGACTTTAACGGTTTAAATATTTTAAAATAATTGTATTTTTTTTAACTAAGATTTGTGTGATTAAATATTAATTTAGTTACTGATGTGCTAACTTTGTTGTAATATAGTTTGTGGTTCTGTTTATATGAACATACAATAAGTTTGATGTGATAAAAGATGTATATAATATATTTATACTAACTATCTTTCTATATTGCTTACGATCTCTATATTTTTAGGAGTTTGATGTTCTCAGTTTTTAGTAGAGATTTTTTTTAAAAATATTTATTGTCTTTACTTGAACTAATGAACTTTTTGTGATAATTTTTATATTAACGTATTGTTCTGAGTTTTAGAGTGAAACAAATGTAAAAGTGTATGATTTTGCTTTTCAAATATTAGGTTATGATAAAATACTTTTATTGCTAAGAGTATATCATAGATATATACAAGATTGGGAAAAGTTATTTAGGAAATATGATGATAAAAAATCACCACGAATCCTGC